TTTCATCACCGTCACCCGCGGCGCGCGGTCCGGCCCCTCCCGCCTGGAAGAGGCCGAGCGCATGAGGAAGGAGCCCGAGGAGCGCAGGAAAGGTGTGGCCAAGGACGACTTTTATCGGTTCCAGAATCGCGAGCGGAGGAAGGAGAGGGAGGGGGAGTTGAGGCGGAGGTTTGAGGAGGATCGGAGGAGGGTGGTGCAGGCTAGGGGGAGGGGGGGTGGGGTTCCGGAGGTTTGAGGGGGGTGGATTGTGTCTTGATCAGCGCGATGATGATTTATTCTGCGCCGTCTTTACTTTGGTCCACCCACCCACCCATTCCTCCCCCCAAGCATGAAAATAACAAGAAAATCCCACCCAGACCTCATCTCAAACAACATTCTGTTCATCCCTCGTGCCTCACTTGTCCTATTTTCCACCGTGTTTTTTTTTTGGTCTGAAGATGATGGGCCTGTTGTAGTTATGTGTTGTGGTCATGCGTATGCTCTTTTAAGGGGGGTTGTATGGATGGTACGGGTGAGTTGGCATGGGATAGGTACGTTGAGTCGGATAGGTAGATTGGCACGACATATGTCCATGATGCAATACAATCATACGAATCCTTCAAACCAGATATTTTAGCAGTATACCGGTATACACTTCACCACGAGTATTCCATTGCCTTGTGTTTATTTTGAAAGGGTGGGATATGGGGGATTGGGATGGGGGATCGGGAGATGGAAGTTCAAATGAATGTGTGGGTTGGTGCATTTGGAGTTCTTAGTGCGTGGTTTACTTCGTCCTGTTTGATGTACTTTGGTCTCACCTGGCTTATTGTACTCGTGTCTGATCTATCCTGTCTGCCTCACCGCACACAACTCTATCCCAGCCCCTTTCCAAAAAACGAAATAGCGACTCCAGAGTTCTAGCACGGTTCCAAAGCCTCGTCGACTTGAGGCATCGTGTGCATCACATTGCAGACGGGTTGGCCCTCGAGCTTGAGCTTTGTTTCAGCCATGACAGTATCAGCATTGTTGGTATGTAAACTAGGACTAAAAATTCGAGTGAACAAGTAAAAACGCTCTTCTCCAACATTCATTCCATATCCAGGCAAGAGAAACTTTGAAATCAAAACGCCATTCAAGCCACCGTACACTTTGAACTTCAACCAAACCCGCAATTTCCAACCCAGAATACGACAATATCCCAGCTCCTACATTTGCATACCTACTCCATCTTGCGTCCTAGCCTTGATACAACTACCCTCGTCGTCTCGCACACACACCCCCCGGACATGTTCTGCATGAACTTGTTCCTTCTCGTGCATCTGTTCGCCATGGGGGCCGTCCAGAAGACTCGATATACCGACCTTTGCACACGGCGCTCGAGTCTCGGGTGGATCTTGCAAAGGAACAAGCTGCTGTGTAACGAGGTGCTGTGGGTTGTGGTTCACAGCTGTACATTGGGTGCCAGGCAAGGCGGCTTGGGGATCGTGAGGTCTGCAGGCCAGTGCGTGTTTACATGCTTCGACGATAGTGTCTGCGTGTGAGCAGGGTGTGGGAAGTCCTCGCCATGTCGATTGAACAGATCGTCGATATCGCGCTTGGTAGCGTCGCAGACGCTGCGCATCTTCCACGATATCAGCGGCAGTGTCGTCCTGTGTGCGGATCTGCTGTGTGTGTTGGCCCCGACGACGTGAGGCCGAAATGGGCGAGGGCAGTCTATGGATATATAAAGCAGTAGGCTTGTCCGACGCCGTGTCGGCGCGGAGTTCCACACGTGGGAGCGGGATAGCAATGCAGTCGTTGCGTTGGCTATGCACCTTTTCCCAGACAAGGGGCGCTAGGCCGCGCGGAAACGTCTCGGAGGCTTTGAGCGAGTTGCACTCCCAGTACAGCTGCTTTCCGAGGTGTAGGAAGCGGCGGCTTAGCAGGCGTTCTTGGAGGACCCAGGCGCGTGTGTCCCAGGCGAAGCCGGGGGTGTGGAACGCGATGGCGGGGAGGGCGAGGGAGGGTGCAGGGTGAGGTTTGCTAGGATGGATGCGCTTTGTATGAGTTGGAGAACAGGTGCTGGGAGCATTTGTACTGTGTGGTTCGAGTGTGTCGGGTGGCGCGAGTTGATCCAGTACAAGTGTTAGAGCGGCATTGCGGAAGACGGAGGCCATGTTCGTGCATTCTTGTTGTTTGTCGAAGATGGAATCTTGGATGACGCATAGGGAGTCGGCCCACATGTATCGATATCCTAGACGGCGCGTGGTAGCAATTGCTACCTTGACATCCTCAGCTAGTCGATCCAAGGGTAGCTCCTTTTGCCACTCGTCCAGGGCATCCATCACAAGTACTGGCTGACTGGGATTCCACACATGACTCAGAGCCATGTAGTCGATTTGATGATCTGATCGCTCGATATAGGTCATGTCGGCCAGGCGGATGTGTAGGTCGTTTGGATCATCCGAAAGGATTTCGACCAGGCGTGTGGGTAGAGCAGTTGTTTCACTTGAGCTCATATATCGACAAGCTTCGTGTGAATGCGTACACTCATGGAGCCAGTCCTCGGCGGCAAACATCTTGTTGCTCGAGACTTCTTGAATCGCGTCGCAGGTATACGTTTTCCCATGACAACCGACGTGTTCCTCTTGGCCTAGAACTTTCACCAAATCTACTTCTTCTTGCGGACCAGGATAGACGGCCTTGTCGTTGGGCCAGTCGAGACAGCATGGCGCAGGGGCGAAGATCATCGTCAGTGACGCTGCGTCTGGCCGCTCCGATGGCTCCGGACTAAGCATTGTTTTGAGCGTATCGGCAACAGTCTCCTCAGTCGCACTCGTCGCTCCTTCGACGAAGCTCGTTAGTCGTGCCTGGACGTCCGGCACTTCTTGCCAGTAGTACTTGCCAGTACGTCCACTGAAGTCTTTGCGGAATTCCAACCATTCGGGATTATCTCCACTAAATGAAACCGAGGCCATCTCGATAAAAACACAACCTAGAGAGAAAATGTCTGCAGCTTGCTTGCGAGCAAAGCCTTCGAATGCCTCGGGGGCGGTGTATCGGCGTGTCATTGCCACGACATGCTCATCCCTGAGATCTTCCGAAGAACTGATACCAAAGTCGCAGAGTACGACCTGGGGAAGTTCGCTGTGGCTGTTGACAATGAGGATGTTCTGGGGCTTGATGTCCATGTGTACAACAACGGGCCGCTGTTCGTGAAGGTACCGCACTGAAGACACGAGACAGCCAAACATGTTGACAATCGTCTCCTTTAGGTTTTCAGGTTTCTCCACCAACGTTCGGTCTAGCCATAGTGCCAATGTCGTCTCGGCAACAGGTGATAGTAAAATGGACATCTTATCGCCACTCGAGTAGGCGTCTAGGAAGCGAATGACGTGAGGATGGCGGAGCTTCTGCAAGACGCTAATCTCCTTTCTCAACTCTTCAACGGCGCCCTCGTCACGGTTCTTCAGGGTCTTTCGTCCGAGACGGAGATGTGTCCCACGATGCACGACTTCATCGACTGTACTGAAGCCCCCAGCACCGAGCAATCTGACACTCAGGAAGGACTTTGAGGCCGGCGGAACGCACTGTGGTTTCTGGCTTGATAACGCTGGTGACATTGGAGGTGAACTTGATGACGATCTTGAAGCGTAAGATGAGCAAGCAAGGTCATGGCCTGCCTTTTGAACGCGATCGTAAATATTCGACGGGGCCAACACTGTTGCTTCGATTGGGCTAATAGCATCGCCATCAGAGCTTGTGAGTTTTCTATAAGGCTCAAGTAGATCCTCATCAACTTGGCTATTATCCTTAAGGCGATGCTCTGTGGGGCCGTTCGCCGGCTCAGTCGCAAGCGCTTGTTCAAGTTTCGGTTGGTTCGTTAGGGGCTGGGAGAGCACATTTCTGGCCATAGCATCTTGACCACTTTCTGGCGTTGAACTCTGCTTTCCATGGATTGAGCAGTCTCGCGCAACGCCATCAAGTGATGAATGTTTGTCCTCGAGCTGAGTCTGATCGACTGGAACGACGGACTTCTCTTGGGTGAGAGGATCGATAATTGGTGACTCTGCTCCGTCCTGACTCGCGTCAAGCTGTGAGAGCTGGAATTGGAAATACCCGCTTTGGCTGCGTGGGTCTTGCGAACCGGCGCCACTACTACCGTTGCCGCCAGAGTGTTTGGATCCAGGCTCACCACTAGGATCGAAAGGTGGGGGCGGGAAGGATGGCGCACCGTCAAAGCCATCGCCGTTTGAACCGTTGTCATCGTCGTCATCGTTGTTGTCAGAATCGTGATTGTCGTGGTCGTCTTCATCGCGCCAGTCAAGCATGGACTTGCCTGCCTTAAAGTGGTCTATCAGAAAGTCAGTATGGCTACTTGAGCTAACATGACGCGATTCAGAATGCGGCAATACATGCACATGTCGACAAGGCGGGTGCATGCACGGCAGAGAAAGAGCGGCTTTTTGGAAAGCCTGCAGTGCCACATAGCCAAACCAAGCAACTACCCACAGTACTTGTGCCACAACTATAACATACCTGCAATGTGATCAATTCGATCTTGTCTCGACACAAACCGATGGGGACAGAAGCCACAATGTCTTGGGAATTCCGTCTCCGAGCTGACAATGCTCGTCTCCTCGTGATCATCTGCATTGACATCTGGGTGAATATTGCGGAAATGCTAGATACCAGTTAGCCAAGTTTCTGAAACGTGCATCGTGGTCGGCTAACCTGTACAAAGTGATATTTCCTGAAGCACGGCTTCACGTTCTCGACGCCTTCGCTGGTGCAAAGGCTGCAAACCCATGATTTACCTGTAAAGTGTTAGCGAATGTAAAAGTCCTTTTTCTCCTGCTGATCCTGTCGTAGTGTCCTCTTCTAATATCTCCAGATGAACGATATGGGCCATGTTATACCCCTGAGGAGTCCTTAGGATGCGAAATTTTACTTACATGGGTAACCCTCTTCCTCGTTCCTCTTCCAGTCACACTTACGACCATATCGCTTGCCGCATTTCCGCGTGCACTGGTAGATCTTGTTGGGATCACGGCCGAGTAAGCGGGGGTCCTGGGTTGGTGTACATCGCTTTTTGCTGCGCCGTAGAGCAGTCGCCGGTTGGACTGTGGTTGTTGTGGCCTCGGGTGTTGTGGAGCTTTCTGTTTGCGGCGCAAAGAGATGTGACGGAGACGCCTGGAGAGTGTCTGCTGAGTAAGAGCCGTTCCAGAGGGACTCGTGCTGGGTAAGGCTAGTCTGCGACTTGTAGGCAGAGTCGTTTTGGGCACTGCCCATGCCCTGCTTCAATAATCGACCAAACCAGCTGCGGATAGCGTCTGCAGACTCACCAGTAAGCTGGCTCAAAGACTCGATATGTCGGTCGCTATGAAGGTTAGTCGTAGGCGCTTAAAGACAGCGAGGTTTTGGTAAGGGAGAGGACGGCATAGTTCAGGCGTTTGACGAGAGTGAGACATTGCTGTGGCAGGGCACTATAGCATGTTCACTTACCTGGGCAACACGTTGAACTTGTGGAACCATGTCGCGCACACATCAGCTGCATCATCAGACAATCCAAACTCAGTTGTGCTGATTGGTGGGGTGAGTTGTGTATCAAGTCCCCAGTTTGAGGTTGCTGAGGCTGTGGACGGCATTGAAGGGAACAGAGGGAAGTCTTGCATGGGCACCAACTCGTGTCGCTTTGCTTGCGGGAAGTCGAACTGGTCCATCTCCAGCGGGCGCTTACCGAGCGAGGTGCTCAGTCCTTGCTGGTAAATTGAATCAAAGGACTGGACTGGCGTAGGGGGGAATGTGCTCAATGGCTGTTGTAGTTGAGGGGTAGCCTGTGTATCCCATCCTGAAGTACTCGCCGAGGTGTTACCCATGGCCTGAGGCTACCATCAGTCAAGTGGTCGGCACCATATGATAATGCGACTCACGAGATTCTGTGGCATGTAGGTCTGCCCCTGAAGGGTGTTGAAAACAGTGGGATCAATGAAGGTTGCGGTATCAATCCCCTCGTCAGCAAAGAAGCCAGAGGTTTCATCCTCTACTGGCTTCGAAAAGTGCTGTTGTTGCGTCGCAAAGGCGGTGCTGAAATCCATGGATGCGTCAAAGGCGAAGCTGGCGCCCTGGGAATCCATTACTACCTCGCTATAATCGTATCTCGGTTCGTGTCTCAAAGTGTCAAAGGGCGTCGTCTTGAAGTGGACGATTGACAATCACGGGCAGAGAGGCGCGCAATCTGCTGGACATGCAAAGGATGAGCGAGTATGATGGAAAGTGAGTCAAGAGCCTCAGGCCGGGCCCAAGCACTTATTAGACCCAGCTGCCTTGAGCTGACGAGGTTGCCGTTGTGCTTGGAGTCATCCCTCAGCCCTTATGCCGCCCTTTTACATGTCCAGCCTTCTGATTCGCTGTAGCGGGTCTCGAGTGCAGGACAAGCGAAGCCACAGGTGCCGGGTGTAGAGGCGCAGTTGACGCGGTTAAGTAACGTCAAGTAACGTTGGAGTACTTTAGAGTACACAGCCGGCTCCGAAGTGGGGCTTGTGGCTGAGTCAGAACCCGGTCGAGTTGTGATCTGGACGCGAGGAATACGATCGTCCTGCTGAATTCAAGCTTTCCGCAACTATAGTAGATGACTGCTGTGTACCAAACAGGGTGCATCCAGTCTTGAGACGACGACGACGACGACGAATTGCACGCGTGTCTTCCTAGCTATGACATGTTTGAATTTGAAATCATGTGCACTACCATATGCAGGATCACTCTTGGATTGATCATGTTCCATGACAGATTCCTAATCGCCCTCGCGTGTACAGCGAGGAGGGAAGATGAACAACAAAGTAAAGCACGAGTGGAACAGCAAAATCCTATCAAGCCTGCACATGGCATAGCAGACTTTCGTAGATTCTTGAAGACATCATTCCATCCCAGCATGGCTATTTTCATTCACAAACTATCTCAAGCTAGCCCAGAGGCAGCATCTAGGATTGAGTGACAATTTCCTGGTCAACAGGGTACTCCCCACCCAGCCATAAACTTTCCGAGTGGGGGTATTCAAGACCATCTCAGAGACAGTCTAATACCGTCGTCCATACCCCTCCTTTTCATATCCGTCATCACCGCCGGAGCCATACTCCTGCCTTCTTCCACCACCATATTCATCCTCATCTTCGTCACGACGGCCGTGTCCACGACGAGATTCGCCATAGCTTTGAGATTCCTCGCCAAAGCCACCGGGCACACCTTGCGCGCCGTACGACTGTTCAGCACGCTCGCCGCCGTATTCGAAGCCACGGTCAGAGGAGCCATATTCTTGGCGGCCAGAGCTATGCGCGCTTAGCACAAAGGACTCAAGACCACCCTCTTAAACATACCTGTATTCTTCTCGACGTCCATAGGACTGCTCCTGTCCATATTCCGACCTCTCCTGCCTCCCGTATCCGCTACTTTCCTCGCCGTATCTTTTCTCTTCTCCATATCTTTCACTCGCGCGGGAGTAGTCCCCCGAGCGGCGTTTGGGCGACCGGCTCTTGCTCTTCTTCCTGCGATGTTCCTGCTCGCGGCTTCTTGAGCGGCGACGACCGTGATCTCCCGAACCTGAGCGACGCTTGTTAGCATCGGAGTCGGAGTCGTCGTCTCCACTGTCACCACGCTTCTTGTGTTTGCTGCGCTTCTTCTCTTCTTTTTCGCGCCTTTTGCGTTCCTTCTTTGCGCGTTTTTCATACGAATCGTCGCCACCACTATCGTTCGAATCTTCGTCGTCGGAGCGATGTTTGGAATGCTTGGACTTACCACGGCGTCTGCGGTAGGCGTTAGCGAATACATGGTGTCAAGGATTGGCTCACTCACTCCTTCTCCTCGGAATAGTATTCTCCAGATCTGTCGAAGCCTTCACGCTTCTCCTCTGATCGCCATTCATCATCGCGCTGGATACTGCGCTCCTCGCGGCGCTCGTATCCACCTGAACCGCTGTAGCCGGATGTCTCGACCTTTTGCTGGTAGCCGTATGAGCCACTGCGTGAGTCCTCCTCATAGCGGGAGTACTCTTCGCGACGACCGCCACTAGGATACTGGGTCTCCTGGTATTCCGCGTGTCCGACGCGCGTTGAGTCGCCGTAAGATGAACCCTGATGACGACCAGTCTCAGAGTATGACTGTTGGTAAGATCCATCCTGGCCGTAGCCCTCGTGTTTCTTGCTCTTCTTCTCGTCATCACCAAACGCTCCACCAAGCAGGGAGCCGCCGATACCTCCGACGAGCCCTCCTACCAGGCCACCTAGAGCGCCACCTCCAACAGCTTCACCGACTAATTTGCCGGCTTGGTCACTGACTTGCTGGGCTTGCTGGTTCCCTCTTCCGCTAGACTTGCCGCCCAAGTTGTTAGCCATGCCCAGAGGCTTGCAGCAGCCGTGACCCGTATCCTTGATACCCTGTCGGGCAACATGGTTTTCACCATTCTGGACACCCCTGCGGCTGAGCTTCTGGCGCATATCATCCTGGTCTGGCTGGTTACTCCACCAGCGCGCCACAGTATCGAACATAATATGGCGACCTCGGTTAGCCTCTTGGTCTTGAGCGTCATCGAGACATGCAGGATGGTGAAAGACACCGTTGATGATGGTATCAATGGTACGTTCGGGGTCCGCCTCGCCGTCCCAGCACTGCACAATCTGAGGTACAGCCCAGGACAAGACAGCGGAAGCAACTCGTCCAGCTGGCTCGTTGAGAATATTCGAGAAGTGATCCTTGGAAAGCATGCTGTGTGTCGGATCAGACGAGTCATCGTCATTGAACACAATGTGCTGCTTGTCGCGAGAGCTGGCGATGACTTCGCTGGAGCCCTCCTCGAGTTCGGTCTTGACCTGGCTAAGGATGGGCAGAACGTAAGGTGCGAGCAGGCTGAAGACGAAAATGGTAACCTGGTTCTGAACCTCCTCCATCAACTCTGGTAGAAGGGGAATCTTCTCGATGAAGTCGGCGATGGACTGCATGATCTCATCATGGAATTCCATGATGGGGTAGATCTGCCTGACCAACTCGCCGATCTGCTGGGTGAATTCCTCAGGTTCTTTGGGTGTGATGCGCACATTACCCATGGCGGCAGCGTTGGCGTTCTCTTCAAGCTCATCCGCCTTGCTGGCCTCGTCCTTGCCACCAAAGATGCCTTCAGGGAGCTGGCTGAGAAGCTCCTTGATCTTGCTCTTGTTCTTAGTTCTGTCTGCATTGGATATGGTCCCCTCAAGCTCTTGGAGTTCAGACTGGGTAGCCTTGTCGGAAATTTCACCACAAACAGAGTGCAGGAAGTCTACACCACCAAACGTTCCGGTGATGATAGGCCAAACCTCCTTTCCGGAGCTCTCCAGACGGACCAGAGTGTTGCGGCCGACATGGGGAAAGACATCACGCTCTCCAAGCTCAATCAGGGCAAGCTCAACGTAATTGGAATGGGCCGAATAGTCTTCCAAGCAGTGGGTGGCGGTACCAAGCAGACGTAGGGCCTCATGGAAGTCGGGTCCACGCCCACCTGAGCGACGACCGAGATCGATGCAGCGCCTAAGCAGGTCACGGACCATGCCAGCTGATGTGGTGATGCCTAGGTCTTCCGAGGCAATGTAGTTCTTCAGGCCGGTTCGCTCATCGACGCCGAGCTCACGCTCCTCGTCAATGGGGCCTCGTAGGCGGCGATCGTAATCGCGAGCATCGACATTGTCGGCGTAGTCCTAGAGGGTCAGCACACCATAGAACACTCTGCGCCAGACCCTGGAACTCACCTTGGGGTTGTCAATATGCTCTTCGGGCCTGTAGCAGCCCAGGCGGTCGCGGGTGACTTCGAATTCTTTGGTTCCATAGCCGAAGCTCATGAAACCCAGAACCCACAGCAGGATACGGATGGCCTCGGCAGACACCATCTTGACCGTACCCACATCGACAGCCTGCGAGTAGTCTCGCAGCCAGTTGCCAAAGTAGACGCGCTTGACGTCCATTTTGCTGAATTTCCTGCCGCTTCTGCTGCTAATGAGCAGCGTAAGCAGCGTGTCCTCAATGTCTCCATGGCGCCAGTTTTGCCCCTCAATGGCGCTCAAGCCAGCAATATTGCCAGCTCCAAATGCAGCGGCGGGGCGGGCCCAGAAAACAAGCAGGACGAGGCACGGCAGCCAGACATCGCTGAAGTGGAGTGACGGCGGCATCGTGTTTGCTGTTACTATTCTCTTACTCTATCAAATCAATGAGTAGTACTAGAGAAGGGAGAGGTTGTAGGATGGAGGGAGAAGTGAGATGCAGTGTATATAGTATAGTGTAGAGGTGTTGTGTGATTGTTGTTTTAGCGCCCGCGTTTCAGCTCCCACGTAATGGCGGGGCAAAGCCCCAGGAGGTTGACGTATGAGAGGGGTCTCTCCCGCCATACGCCGCCAGCCACACACAGCAGAGCAGCATCGACAGGGAGTCATTGCTTATCCCCTCATTGACCCCACCATCATATACCCATTTCGCCGCGAAACTCTCCAAACTCTTGCTACTTGGAGAATGCCGTCCAAAAACGCGGGTTTGTCGCGTTGCAAGACACCAAATCTCCTCCTATCTAGCGCAACTCTCTTATGAAAATGTTTCACTGTTCACTGTCTAGCCAAGCACAAATGACGACTCTACCCCTTGACATACCTCGAGCACAGCCCTCATCCATCTACCATTACCTGCACAACTTGCCAAACAAATAACACAAGTCTGCCCACCTTTGTTGACTTATACCTGCAATGCTAAGTAAAAGCATCTCCGAGTGAACATGTTCAGCAAGACATACCTACTTCCCCTACCCTCTTCGTGATTGGGTTTGTAGGTACCCGTAGGAAAGTTGTCGGAAGTAGCAACAATACCACGAGTGATGATAACTGCCCTCCAAGGCAAACTTCCTTTCCCCCTCAATGCCGGGGATATATGACTTATTTCGTTGCCTACCCTCACTATGCTCCCGGAAACATGGCCGAGAGACGTAAGCCGTGAGCATGAGGTTGAAAGTAGCATAGCCATCAAACGGTGCTAGGCTGTATTTGGTGTAGTAAACCAGCTGGACAGCTTGGAGCAAGTGCATTGGTGACAGACAGCCCCGTGATGTCAGCAAGAGCATGTCCACCACAGGAAAGCTCCATCGTCCAGATAAATCGCATCGGCGATGTCCACAGGATGCAAAATCTCCATGCCTCTGTTGCCAACGTCATTCTCTGCTCTTGATGTATAATGGGGGGATATGAGGGACCTGGGTACCCCGACGACGTTGTCATAATCCTCATTAAACGCGCTCTAGGAACCATGTTTTGCATGGCGCCGGGAATGCATGTGTTTCTGCTGCGCGACATGGAGTGAGTGAGCCGCAGCCACGCTGGTTTAGTACTTGGTACACACGCTCCAACAATCTGTAATTGATAATTAATCCCAAGAAGATTTGGATATTGCTCGAGAGACATTAGAGCGCAATTGATGAGCTGAGCATATCAGAAACCTTATCGCTCCTTCAAGGATCATCCAGGGATAGACTACATTGGCTGGACAGTGCATTCAGCCTTACTTTCTTCTATGTCCTCAAGCTCACCTTTTATCATCCGCCACCAGTGAGGCGTTGCAGTGGCTTGGCGGCAATGCAAACGTTGGCCATGTGCAATTGGACAAAGGGGCTTGCTCGGATGATTACTTCCGAATATACGGTGTGTATCTTGCTCGCCATATGCACCTGTGCTTTGCCGGGTGCTGTTTGGAGAAGATGGGTAAAGGCCAGCAATGTGTCCATCGGTGAGCAGACCTGTTCCCTAGCGTATCGTTGCACTCGTATAATACGTACATTCCTGTCTTTCAGCAAGGGCGCAAGCAAGCAATGTCAAGACGGGGACGGGAATCACGGGAAAATACGGGCATAGCGTCATAACGAAGGTGGGTGGACAGGCAGGAGTAATGGTAGATGCGCCAATCGATGATACACGACCGACAGGGCAAGTCTAGGAGCTCCACCCGATGGCCCTGGTGCCGACGGGTAGCTGATTTTGACAGGACGGTAACACTTACTGGTAGGCTTCATTTGCCTATTTGTCCTCGTCGCCATTGTGCAAGCAGGTGTGACAGCTATGGCCTGATCCCGTCACTTCCGCTGTCAAGTAACCTACCTGTCAAAAGCTCGTCCTTCGTCGCATCTGTAGACTGCCGTGGAAGACAGCGCGTCCACCCACGTTTCCTGTGATGCTTGGTGCGACCCTTGCTTTGATAGTGTGCGAACATGAACTGCAAAAGGCACAGCGCAGCCGTGAAACTCCCGCCCTGCGCTGCAACAGTTGCGCGGAAAAGTGGGGACCGATTTGCTGTGTCACCACGTAAACGCGTGCTTGCATTTGACAGCTGTGGTGACCGCTGTTGTGTAACTTGTGCTCGAGTGATCGCCTTGTTGTCTCGCTTATGACGGCGTCAAACGATGCCATTTCGATACTTTTGTGTGAGTGTATCTTGCCAAGATGGAAGACTTTCATCCCATGCAGCCCATAGTTTGAGACAATACAAGTTTCCGCCGGCTGTTCAGACGAGGAATGTCCAGAAACTGGGGTATACGAATTCATCTTCGAAGATGCGCCTGACCTGCTCAAGAACAAACGACTCCACTTTTCCAACGTTCTTGAGTACCTGCTTGCCACTGCCCTGTCCTCCGATCTCGCTCTCCACCTTGATGTTCTCGAGAAGGCCTCCGATTGTGGGACGCTGTACAGGCTGAGGGTTGTAACCTTGTGCATCAGTTTGTAGTCCCTGGAAGGCGGTATCACTACCAACTAGAGCATCGGCATCGTCAGGCGAGAGGAAGCAAAAGTGTGCTCGCTTCTTGATGTACGCGAGAATAGCTACGCCATCGAAAGTGAGCCCAGTAATGTTCAACTTGAGAGGAATGCCAACAAAGCTGGGCATCGGGTAGTCCAACAAAATTTCCGCGGTTAGCGACATTTTGATGTCTCCGGAGTACCGCACATGTGCCACTACCTGAATGTCATCTGCACTCTTTTCCCGCATGCGATGCGTTGCCGCAGATGGAGTCCGGTCATAGCTACGGTGAGATACATCATCTGGTTCAGCAAGGGACTGCCTTTTCCCTTCCTCAGTGAGATGTCGTGAAGACGGACGTGTGCCAGGATCAGGATTGGACTGCGGTGTCAAGGTGAGTGAGTTTGTCGATGCAGCATGGCGCAGACGCATATTGGTCGGTGTGGAAGGCCGACCATAAGGGTTTTCAAGCCAACCCTGGAGTTGTGCGCCAGCTACAGCAGCGAGAGGAGTGGTAGCACCCGATAGACCTGCACCCAAAGGCAGATGAAAATAATTCATGTTCGAGGTGCCGCCAGGAATGCCTGGCGTGGGCGCTCCAGAAAGAAAAGGGCTCTGTAGCGTTTCATTGGGGCCATACAGCGCACGATTGGTACGTGTCCTAGTGTTGGTATGTGACGGAGTTTGATGGCCATGTTCTATCATGTTCCTGCCCGGGTGCGACGCATCTGCTCCTGCCTCTTTCGACGGGGGCTCTTTGGCAGCGTGATTGGGTGCATTGGCTTGATGGTGCTGTTGCTCATCGAGATCTGAAGTGTCATCTGCAAGCCCATCACCGCCTGGAACGTCTTCGTCCTCTTCGTAGAAGTCTGGGAGTGGGTCGCAGATGTCCTTGATCTCAAGCTCCGGAGGCACGCTACCGAAGTCGAACGAGTGGACGTGGACGGAGCGAATGAAGCGAGGCAACGTCACCTGCTGGAATCTGTCATGGATGAAGGCACGTATAGCTTCTGCACGACCAGGGCCATCTGGACCACCAGTCAGTGTGTCCCAGTTGATATCAATCGACATTGGTGATTATCAGAGCGAGCGTTGGGGTTGGGCGGTGGACGGACGGAAGAAAGTGCGGTGCCCAGTTGGGTTCCGAATGAGGAAACAGCCACCCGGGCCGAGCCCACCACGCACCATGACGCGCCGAAAAGGCCGATCAGTCCGATGCAGCCTTGGAAGCATCGCATCCATCGCTTGTGTGTGCGGCACAGGTTGATGAGCTTCCCATGACTTGGCCACGGCTGTGTGATGATGCATTCAACTCTGCAGCTCTTCCTTGCACGTCAACGGGCTGTACACCCACCAGTCATCAGCCTGTATGTACGGCACAGTGCCTGTCCTCTGTATACGCGTACCCGGTAGACGGCCGTCGTTCATCGCTCTGGTTTGCTGCCGACATGCGGAACATACCTGGGTAGTACCTACCGTACCGTAGTCGTACGCTGAACTGTGCACAATCGACCTTCACGCGAAAGTGAGCCGCATAACGCTCCTGCACGTGCTCTCGCAGGTGTTTGCATCATGCAGATCGTATCTGCACAACGCCAGAGTGAGTCTACTTGTATGTACATTCTCTGCCTGACGGCCTCGACGACAGGCAAGGGGGGGTCCGTCGATCCCGTTGGATCTGGGTGACGGGTGTAGCCAGGACAGGGTCAGCAACCGACAAGCATGGGATGGGTACATGCCATGCCACATGGTATACCAAACGTAGCTATATATGACTAATGCTGCTAATCAACGAGCCATGCAAAATCCTTTGCGAGTTCCATCTTCAACCGCTTTCCAGACACTAGCCCATCACTGGCCCTGGATAAGCCAAGAGCCGACAGACACTCTGACTGGCACACAGTCACAGCCGTATCGACCAGCCCTGTGGTGTTTGGCGTTGGCTCAGGACTCAGTTGAGCAAGTTCTGGGGTCTAGGCTGAATGACTTCTAGAAGAACCGTTACCCGGTTGGCTGCAGATATCCATGCAGGGCCTGACATGTAACGACAGCACATTACATGTCTTTTTCGGCTATTTGGCGATCCAGACAGTGCTGCCTACCACGGCCGCGCTTTTGCGAGGCGCATCACATGACAAAGCAATCGTTCACCGGTTGCGTTTGTGTTGGGGACGGTTCTGATATGTGCCCAACTTAATTGCGGGGTTGTCTGTGGTTGCTCTATGGTGAGCACAGCGACGGAATCCTGAGTGGGCCGAAGACTTGCACGTAACACGGGCCGTTCCTGAGCAAGGTTCGAGGTACTTTCGGATGAACAGGGCTTGTTTTGTCATCCGAAATCTTGTCGAGTATTGCGCGATGAGGGCCATGTTGAGCCCCAGTATTCGCTTGCACTTACCGCGTCCTACCATGCTCCAAGAACAAACAAGCGCTAAGCTGCTGTAACTTTCGACCTGATGTGATTGCAAGGCTGTGATACAGTGTCAATATCAGCAACAAATGAATTTGCGTCTGTGGGATAACACTAAGGCACCTCGCCATGCTGAAAAGACTCTTGTAGAGTCCACTACGTGCCCACTGTGGTTCTTCAGTACCACCTGGGGTTAGCAGTGGGTAGCAGAACTATGCGTATCCGGTGCTTCGATATTGAGAGCCCCGTTGATTGCGATGAGCCGTGTGGAGGCCAAACTTTAGCGCTCCGCGGAATAAGAAAAATGCACAAAAAAAGATGAATAGATGATGACGATGGTTGCCCATTGGATTGAGCGCAGGATCCTCGGTGGGTCCCTGCGCATTGATTACGTTGCTCGTTATTGCTTTATGCGCTGCGTTGACAGCCTGAAAACGCCAGGCGTGCAAATGGAAATATTGTTGATAGCAATGACATGATTAGAAGCGGCACCGATGCGGTTCGCCGTTTGCGCAGAGCGCGACCAAAAATTACGAGACCGTGGTATCCATGTAAAGAAAGAAAAAAAATGTAACACAGATTACGGGCGGCCTGCCTGCACCACCAGCGTATATCCAAAACGCCGGACTGTAGCGTCCATGGTGCTGGCAAATGCCAATGCCAATTTCCAAAACGCCGATACTTTTTAAAATCCGTGACGCCGTGCAATGCAGCCTGTGGGGGACGTGTCGCAGGACTAAGGAGGCCGTTCAATCGATTGCGTAGCTGCACCAGGTGCGGCAGCGATGGTACGCAGCAAGTGCCACGAACCATCATGGGGCATGGTCCGGATAAAGGTGGGTGTAGCACCCTGCAAAGCAAAGGTCAGACGAAGAAGCTTGGGTAGAGTGCAACGCCTGCCAATGCTATGGGCACGCAGAGGACAGAAGAACTGGGGGAGGAGGGGGGAGGGGGAAGTCCTGTCTGGTGGGGAGGGGAAGCGGGTGGGGGGGAGGGAGGGGAAGGGGGGTTAGGCTGCACGTACCTAGGCTTCAACGATCACACGTCTCGCACTTTTCATCGTGCTTGACCGTCTTGACGTTGCAGACACCGCACGGCGCAGTTCTTGAGGTTGCGCATGGTGCCTTTGCTTCGAAGACGTGGCCGCAGCCGTATTTGTGTACGACCTTGGTGCACATGTCGTGGTTGCAGATCAGGCAGACCAAGGGGGCAGGCGTGGTCGCACGGCGGGGGAGCGCCTTCTGTGGCAGCGTGGGAGGGTGGTCGCGGCTGCTACCTCTACGTAGCAAGGGAAGGCGGGGGCGGATGCTGGACGGTGCTGATTGGCTGACGGAAGGAGGGGGGGGGGGTGGCTCTTTCTTCTCGTTGCAGAGCTCTGAGACAACAAACGAACCAAACGTGCGTGTTGCTCGGCTCTCGGGGAGGGATAAGGCGATGGTATCGAGGTAGCACCTCTGTATAGACTGGGATGGGGAACCTGTGGAGTGGGGGGTGGCTGCTCGTTGGCCACGGTGTGGAGGTGTGGATGGTTTTTGGTATGTAATGTCCGGATCGACTGACGAGTAGATGGAATTGAGAATCGACGGGGTGATGATGGACTGGCTGCAGTCTGGGAGCTTGTACGCAAACGTGGTGTTGTTCTCTTTGATCTCGAGGGACGTCTGGCACGGGGCGAATGAGCAAAGAGCAGCAAGGCAGACGGCAAGTAGTGGTTCAGCGCAGAAGGTAGGTAGGTAGGCAGGTAGGTAGGCAGGTAGATAGGCAGATAGGCAGGTAGGCAGGTAGGCAGGTAGGCAGACAGGCAGACAGGTAGGTATGTAGTGTTGTAGGTAGTGGAGGTAGTAGCACGCAAGGAACGCACGTACTGGCCAGCAGAGCAGCCGGGAGGGCGAGATATGTAGAGGTATTGGTCGGAGCGTCCTGAAGGGAGGCGACGGGCAACAGGAGAGTTTTATAATCGAGACATTGCAGAGAGCCAGCCAGACGGTACCTGTCGAGGAGCTGTTAGATTACTACCGCTGCCGTTTGCAACAGACAGTGCGACGACTCTTGTACAGCCGTTGGCTCCGTGCGGAAGGGCAAGGACAAGTACATTCGCGGAGCGTTAGCCATGGGCCTAGCATTTTGCCTGCCAGGATCATCCCGTCCATTTGAGCGCCGCTTCTGCAGCAGCGCGCTGTGACCGCTCCATCAGCAATCCCCCCCCCCCGCGTCTGGCCAATCGTCACCCCTGGCCGCCCGACCTGATTGTGTGTGCTTTTCCTCCTCCTCGTCCACCTTTGCTCAAGCGGTCGGTCCAGCAGTCCAGCGCTCGCTGCTCACACTCTTCCGCTCCCATTGCCCACCGCCCAATTGCCTGTCCACCGCCAGGAAGCCTACACAATTACAGTTAGCCATGTAGATGTGTAGGGTAGGGTGCAGCAGCCTTCGGTCTTGCTTTGGCCGATCTACCTAACTGCGGCTGCTGGTCAGCTCAGGGTCTGCGGCCACACTTTGTGGGGGAACATCGATTCAACAGCCGACACCCCCAAAATGCTTGTAGCTTGCTTCTCCTCGATCAACATCGACACCGCCGTCACTCCCCTTTGTCCATCATTGTGCTGACCACCAGACCGCGCTCTTCCACCTGCTTTGTCGACATCACATGATGACGACGCTGGCCGGCCTGGCTCGCATCAAACAGCGGAGGACAGCCCGGCCACTCCTGTAGCGCAGCGTTGAGCGTAGCAGAACATCATACGACAGGGCTGATTCGGTGCCTAGCGAATTTCATCTCTGTACCACATTCACTCGCCTCGCTGCAAGAACACCCAAAGTGTGGCCCGTCGCAAGGCTAGCTGCAGTTCCGCCGACGTCTGTAGACACACCTGTACCAGTACCTGCCTGCCAAACCAGCAAACATTCTTCTGCTGCCTGGTAGACAGCCAGCAACACCTGCTCGCCGTGGAGTTGCGCCTTGTTTCGGAGAGCGAGAAGAATCAACATGCGATCACTCGACGAGCCAATCTCCGAAAACCTGATGGATTTTGAGACTCGTGTGCCCTATCTGATGCACACATGGCACCCTTGTCCACGCAACAGCCGCCATCTCGAGCAGAGGAAGAGCATCAGCTTTCCAATTCACCCTATGTTGGTCCGGGTAACGGAGTCGATTGCGCTGTGTCTCCTATGGAGTGGTGCAGTCGTCAACGCGGACGGGTGGCACATTGAACGCACATACAGGGGCTGTCCTTGCATCCAAGCTATGGACGGGTCCACACAGGTTCCATGGGCAGTGGCGTTCGGACGGTGAGGTGTTTGGATTTTGAAGCATCATCCCACAAGAATTCTTAAGCGGCTCCGCCAATGGGCGGGTCCCAAAAATGGGAAAAGCAAACAGCCATTGGCAGATTACGACGTCTGCCCATGATTCAAGAGGGGCGAAGTCGAGCTGATCATGCTGAGATGCTAGCTCGACGTTCCGAGGTTGGGTTGGCATAGCTGCAAATGGCTTGTGTCGACAAGAGAGAGCCGCCAAGCCAGCGTCACAACATCAGCTTGTGATGAATTTCCGGCCATGGGGCCGCTGATATCGCCAGCACCATTGAGGTCCAGCCGAATGGCGCACCTGATGGACTCCACATTCCGCCCATTGCCCCCGTCCACACGTCTGTGTACGGCAAGCTGATCATATGCGCCGTCTGATGTCTCCATGGCGGACGTTGTGGAGGAAAGGTTGAAATACAACGCTACCCAGCAGATGCTGTGTCGCCTGTCAACTGTTCCTTCGTCTTACGTCCCCCAACGGCTTGCAGGGATCAGTGTGGCCCATTACTTCAACGGCTCTAGCGTCACGGCCCGTCGACACCAGATCGACGTCTGTGCGCCCACGGGTTGCAAAGTGGCTTTGCGCCGCTGACTTGCCCAAGGCTGCATGGCCCTGTCTCGACTTGCCAAAGCATGCATGTCGGCGCAACCGAGAGCGAGTGCGGCCAAACGCCGCCCACCGCCTGCACCAGCCTTGCAAACTATATTGCGCCTTTCTGTGGAGTGATCGACGCGTTTGGAGCACCAGGTTCGATTCAAACCACTGGTCTCGTGTCGTGCAGTTGAGAATCGTCGCTCAAGGGCCAAGTACTTGACAGCACGACATGACACATGCGCTCTGTACAAGATATTTTTTTGGATCTGCCATGACGACGCTTCAAATACATACCAGGTAGCTTTGTACAGTCTCATGCCGGCAGTTTCCGGCACCTCGACGTTGTTTGCAATATTTCCTCGAAGTTTGTCTCAAAGCAAAAGCTCCATTCATGGGCCGCTTTAATTGTCTTGGGGCTGCAGGCGCAGGGCGGCCTATATGGCGAACCCAACAAGGTCTTGAGACGATCAATTGTCACTCACTCCCTACAGTAAGATCGACCATAATACCGAGCTCTGGTGATATGATAGACACGTATCGCCCACAGACAGACACAGGCAATACTCACGGGGCAATTGGGCAACTAGGTCGCGGAGCCATCGGTCGATTGGCGTTCGACCTGGCTGTTTGATTGAGTCCACGGCTGATTGGATAGCTGCGCGACAAACTTGTCGCCAGCCCAGGTGGCAGGCGACGTGGAATTTTGCTCATACATTTGCGTTTGGCTCCTGCAAAGCACGGTTGCGCGATGGCAGGGAGAGCACGACACGCCCTCCAGTCTGAAACACTTACCTACTTGCTGTGTACACGGTTTCTCTTGGATGGACGACGGAGAATTTATAGGCTTGGATGCGAAACCATGGCTCTTTCGCTAGCAATGCCCAGTGGCTTTAGCATACATACCTACCTACAAACACACATCACCTTACAGTTGCTAATGCACCGCAGAGTTAGGCGGGGCAAAACTCAAACTTTGACTTGCAGACCTGGCACCGGCTTCGATCCTGACAAGATTCTCGATGACTTTAGACTTTACGGCCTCGGAGCCAGACGCAAAGAACGTACGATTTGGCCCAGTAGACTTTGGCAAGCGCGCGGAAGGGGCTTTAGAGGTACCCGTATCATTCCGCGCTTGCCAGGCAAAGTAAACCCATTTCGGTCAACCAGGGTCCAGAGTGTGTACTGTGTAAGAACTGGAGGACGACCATCACCTTGCCCCTGCCCACGCATTATCAGATTTTTTGCAGATCATGTGAGTACATTTTCATTCGGCGAGATTGGTGTCCTTGGGCAGCGTCGCCCCGACGATGTAGCAGTTGACCCGACCGCAACAAGAGACTTGCAGTCAGTCTGACAAGATGCGTCTGGCAATCGAATTCGCGCGCTTCTTGACAGGATCTGCAGAGTATCAGTGCAATACAGTCAAGGCGTCTCAAGCAGCCAGGTCACGACGCAGCGCTGTATGCACTTGGACATGACGCTAAATGTTACCGCTACCCTATACTCAGGAACGGCGTCAACGGCGACATGGACTGGCGTGGCATTTTGCCATGCATGCTTTTGTGCCACCAAAACCAATCACTACCTACGTGCCTGCAGCATATCGATCTATCGCAAACTTCAAAGTGTGTTCGGGAAAGGACAAGAAAAATCTCCTACAGAGTGCATATGCAACCGGAGGATCATTGCAAATCAATCTCGTATTGACTTTGGACGGCAGGATGCGATTCACCTCTCTGGCGTGAATGGGTCTGGAGCGCGTCGGGATCTTTGGCGAAGAGATTCCAACGAATCGTAGAATCTACTGCATGACTCCTCCGGCTCAGTTATCGGCTGCGTGTCAGCTTACCTGCTTTCCTCTGCACGGTAAGCTTAAGCGCAGCAGAGGCGATCAGGTACATGCCGAAAGCCCATGTCTGTAGCAAACCAATGAATGCAATCCATCTCTTGTGTAGCTCTCAAGGGACATGCTACAGTACCTAAGTTGAAAAGGGTACCAACTAGCGATTTAGGCGGACCATTCGGCACGAGAAAGGTTCTCTTGCGCGGTGTGTTGAAGGCAGCACGGACTGAGGTCCGGAGACATTCGGTGGTTCTTTGGCGACTCAGGGCACAGGACACACCATGCGTCCATAGATTGGCTTTTATTCGCTGGAATCATGGTCCGTTTGGCGTCCATGCTAAGGCGTACTATGTATGTACAGTGTACATGCTTGTATTATATTGCTGCTACAACAAACGGCTATCGTGATGTACTCATAGCCTAGGTCCTACTACTCTAGGGCACTATTGTGGTATCCTTATATTGCCGGTGGAAGCATCGAGTACCTATGCACCCCCCCTTGGCATACCTTTGCCATCCAAAACACGAGCACTACTGGAATTTTGTCCTCAATCTACAGCCAACAAGGGGATGCTAGGAATAAGTATCAGTGGCCTCCGCCTTCTGAAACTTTGGCCTCTCTTCTCAGCCTCGTTCAATTCTATCCCTATCCCAAAAGGGAAAGTGGGGAAAGGTCCATGTTGTAGGAAGTACTCTAAGAGAGGGGTTGCGCACTCACGTGCACTGACGTCAGCCGCACATATCTTGAGAAGAAGGCTTCCTAGCCCAAACCAAAACAAAATGTCAGTCTCACGTCATGGATCGCGTGGCAAGAACCTCGGGAAGCCTGAGAGAATATCAATTTCTCCGCATCGACTATTCACTATCAGTCATTACCCACTCGTCGTGCGAATTCATGGGGTAAAAATGCGATTCGCGTGGCATATCGGCGGCGTTCGGCAGTGTCAACAGAGGCAGATTGACAGATCCACCGCCTCTCATAACATCATCACGCTTGCTATTGGCTATGCATTGCAAGTCTACGACGCCATCTGCGCGTCAGGAACGCGGGCAAAGAGCTCGAAGTAGCCTACACAGCACGCAGCAGGGGAGGGGGTTGGTCGAGAGGTGAAAAGGAAAAGCGCGCTGGTACTGCAAACAACGTAGGTATGACGTTGAATTGCAATCCATTTTCTCGTGCGCGCCTTCCATATACAAATCGGCATTCCCTCTGAACCTGATGTATAGACACCGAGTGAACACGGTAGCCACTCCTCTCACCTCACCACAACTTTCAGAGTCTCAGAGTAGTTGTTCAACATGGCGTCTACCATTCTCGGAAATGTTGCAGAGAAGGCCAAGGAGATGACTGGCTTCAACGACAAGAAGCAAGCTGATCTTGCCACTGTGACCAAAGATGTTCATGATAAGAGTTGGAGGATCACCAGCGATTATGGCGTCAAGCAAAACAACACCGACAAGTGGCTACATGCTGGCACAGACGACAAACAAGGCCCTCAGCTCCTCGAAGACCAATTCGGTCGCGAGAAGGTATGTTGTTGCTTGATCCCTCAACTCACCACAACCATCCACTGACACACCTCTCAAGATCCACCGCTTCGACCACGAACGCATTCCAGAGCGCGTAGTCCACGCCCGTGGCTCCGGTGCCTTTGGCAAATTCACACTCTTTGAGTCTGCCGCCGATGTCTCCAAAGCTGGCATCCTCACCGACACATCCCGAGAGACACCCGTCTTTGTGCGCTTCTCCACCGTCCTGGGTAGCCGTGGATCTGCAGACACTGTCCGTGATGTTCGTGGATTTGCCGTCAAGTTCTACACCGACGAAGGGAACTGGGATATTGTTGGGAACAATATCCCGGTCTTCTTCATCCAGGACGCGATGAAATTCCCCGATGTCATTCACGCTGCTAAGCCAGAGCCAGACTGTGAGATGCCACAAGCTCAGTCTGCTCACTCGAATTTTTGGGACTTCCAGAAAGTTTTGTCCTCAGAATGAACTTGGGAAGTCGCACTAACAGCTTCTCTAGGTACATGCACGCTGAAGCGACTCACATGTTCATGTGGGCCATGTCCGACCGGACTATTCCACGCTCGTATCGTATGATGCAAGGATTCGGTGTCAACACCTACACGCTCATCAACGACAAGGGCGAGAGGCATTTTGTCAAGTTTCACTTCACCCCCGAGCTTGGTGTGCACAGCTTGGTGTGGGATGAGGCTCTCAAGATTGCAGGCCAGGACCCTGACTTCCATCGCAAGGACCTCTGGCAGGCGATTGAGAACGGCGCATATCCCAAGTGGAAATTTGGCATCCAGGTCCTTCCAGAGAGCAAGGAGGATGACTTCGATTTTGACATTCTTGATGCCACCAAAGTCTGGCCCGAAGAGCTGGTGCCAATTCGGTACATTGGTCAACTAGAGCTCAACAGGAACCCCGATGAGTTCTTTACCCAAACCGAGCAGATTGCTTTCTGTACAAGCCACATCGTCCCTGGTATCGGCTTCTCAGACGACCCGCTACTGCAGGGCCGCAATTTCTCTTACCAGGACACGCAACTCTCACGTCTGGGAATCAACTGGGAAGAGCTACCTATCAACAAGCCTGTCTGCCCTGTCATGAATCACAACCGTGACGGAGCCATGCGACACACCATCACCAAGGGCAAGGTCAACTACTGGCCCAACCGTTTCGAGACTGTACCTCCCGCCTCGGAAAAGGAAGGTGCCTATGTTGAGTACGCCCAGAAGGTTGCTGGCGTCAAGACGCGTCTGAACAGCAAGAAGTTTCGCGAACACAAGAATCAGGCCGAGCTCTTCTACAACTCCATGTCTGCACCGGAGCAGGCTCACATGAAGGCTGCTTTTGCCTTTGAATTAGACCACTGCGAAGATCCCATTGTCTACAAGCGCATGTGCGAGCGCATCGCCGAGATCAATCTCGAGCTCGCCCAGGAGGTCGCCGAAATGGTTGGTGGTGAGAAGCCCACTGATGGGGGTCGTGCTAAGCATGGCAAAAAGACCAGGGGTCTCTCGCAACTTGACTATATGCCATCCACACCTACGATCGCGACACGCATGGTTGCTATCTTGATTGCAGACGGTTACGACAAGGTCGCATACAATGGCATTAAGGCTGCTCTCACTGCAGCCGGCGCCCTGCCTTTTACTATCAGCCCACGCAGAAACAAGATCTTTGCTGCAGGCGAGGAGGACGGCCAAGGCGGCGTTGTCGCAGACCACCACCTTGAGGGTCAACGGTCAACCATGTACGACAGCATTTTCGTCCCCGGCGGTGCCAAGTCTATCCAAACACTCTCGAAGAATGGCCGTGCTGTTCACTGGATCCGCGAAGCCTTTGGCCATCTCAAGGCCATTGGTGCAACCGGCGAGGCTGTTTCCTTCATCAAGATGGCCGTTGATCTACCGGGAATGCAATTCTCGACGAACAGCGAGGCCGTCGAATCGTATGGTGTTGTTACAGTGAGCGAGATGAAGCCGGAGAGTTGGAAGGAGGGTGTGGAAATAGCCAAGGGAGCTGCGAGTTTCCTGGGCAAGTACCAGTATGCCATTTCTCAGCACAAGAACTTTGATCGCGAAATGGATGGATTGAATACGATGGTGGCGTACTAAGGCGACTTGTACTTGCTCGCTCCTTGCCCGAGAGACTGACTTGGCATTGGTACGACAAGACAGATGAGATATTGTAGATTACCGAGGAATGATACCATGGAAACTTGTAATGATGAGAGAATGTATTCTGATGAGAGAAGAACCGGTGTTGTTTTACTAATGTTGTGGAGACGTGTGTTGTGAAACCGATATGGGGCCGTACTCTAGATGATGAGAGGAGAGGAGAGATGTCAGGAAGCGTGACAAGTTAGAAACTTGGGTACATGTCGCTCTGCTCATCATCCTTGGACTGCTTGGGGTTTATAGAGGGGTGAGTGGGTGAGGGAGGGTTTGTAGACTGTGAGTTGTGTATTGCTGTGTACGCTGCAATATAACGGAGCTCAATCCCCACTCCAACCTCTAAAGATCCAAAGACATCCACAACGACGAGATTGTTTTTAAGAAAAAAAAACTGGAAATCAATTCAAAAGAAGCAGTTGGGACGAGAGCGGTGGGAGGGGGGTTAATATTGTCTTTGATTTTGCGAGGGAGTTGGTGGCGCTGGATGGGAGTGCGGGTATGGGTGCTGTTTGTTTGTTTGTTTGTTTGTTTGTGTCGGTATCAAGGCTGGTGCAAGGCTAGAGGCTACGTCGTCTTCCCTATCCCGCTATCGCTCGAACGCAACTGTTGGTGAGTTTTTTCTTTCTTTCTTTTGCTAGGCAGATTTTCTAACCATGCTTCCATGGGCTCGGATTTCGCATGTGAGATCAATTGCAGGCGAAGTTTGTTCAGCGTCATGTGTATGTGGTCGTGGCTTGATGGATAATCGACGAGGATAGGTGAGGGGTTTTCTTGTAGAGTTGGATGTATGGCGAGGTTTTGGAGCGGGTTGATGATAGATGGGGTGGGTGAGAAGTTTGTTGGAGAAGTTTGTTGTTGTGTGTGGGTTGGCAGAGTCTTGTTTTGATGGGTCAGATATGCCTGTGTATGCTGCGCCTTTTGCGTGTAAATTGTCTGGTGGTATGTACTTGTCAGCGTGGTAGTGTGATGCCTTGTTGTGGTTGGGATTGAGGGTGTTGAAAATGAGGTATAATAATATCGTCATGTTTGGCATTACCGTGATATTTGCGTCATTCACCTTTCAGTCAGTTTTTTTGAACTCTCCATGCTAAAGGAAGTCAGGTACGGTGATCGTCGTCTGCAGGGCCCGACCTTTTCATCACGTCAGAGCAATTCACGAGTGTGTCATGCATATCAACGTCCCCATCTGATTAGAATTAAGCCCGCGGATTACTGTCATTGTCTGTGTCCATCACCGGCGAAAACGTTCCATCCTCTCACACGTCCCCACATCAATTAATTACTCGTTGTAAATTTTCTTTCTTGATTCTGCCAAGACACTCTACAAACTTGAGCCTGATTTACTAGCACCACTGAAAGTCGTCTGCAGAGCATCCCACAGCGGCTCACCGCCCGCAGTCATGTCCTTCCATGCGGGGCACGCGAGGCTGAGAAGGGGTGCGGCAAGTGTGTCGGTGACTAATTTGATCGGAACTTCGAGCGTCTTGAGGAGTGGGGAGAGTGAGTTTGGTAGGAAGGTCTTGAGGACTTCAAAGGTGAAGCAGAGGAGGTTGTTGTTGTCGAGGAGGGTGGCGCTGTTGAGGACGCCGCCGGTTATGTCGGACATGTCGAGGCCGGTGAAGCTGTTGACTTTGCCTGTGTTGCCTCCGATACTGGTATTTCCATTAGCCATGCGTTTGGGTGCGCCGATATTTGGGGCTCGCTTGGGATTGGTTTTAGAAAAAGCCAGAGAAGGAATCAGACGTACCTTCCAAGTTCAGGGTGCTTCATGACCCAGTCGACAATGTCCAAGTTCAATGGCAAGAGGCCATACTCGCCCTTGATGCGGTACCAGTTCTCGGGGAACGTCTCATGACCCTCGCGGTACTCCAGACCACCTCTTCCATCATCATAGACGGCGAAGAATTTCTTGAATACCTCCTGCGTGAGAATACCGCCTGGGTGCTCGTCGGTGTGGTTGGACAGAAGACGGCCAAGGAAAAAGTAACCCGCATTGCGGCTGACCATGCCAGTGACGGGTCCGTAGTAAAAGTCCGGGTTGTGAGCAATGCTATATCTCCAGCGGCGCGCAGCCTGGTCCGCGAGAAGATCCATGGAGATGACGCCATTGCTATCCGCGCGATCATAGATGTCGCGGAAAAGAGTCATGTTCATTGTCCAGGCATTGCCGGTGACATATAAGTCGTCGCGAGTAAGCGACGAATCTGACTCGATCCAGTTGTGCGAACCTTGGAGACCACGTGGATCACCTATTCGCAATCAATATCACGCATCATATAGATTCAATATATAGATTCGATAATGGGTTCGGCTACTTACCGAGCAGCCCTAGGAGGTTCCCAAGGAGGTTGTCGTTGCCACCGCCTCCGATGGAGAATCCTGGATTCGTGGACAGCGGGTTTCCAGTCCACACGGTGCCCATGACACCCAGGATAAGGGAGAGTTCGATTCCCATGCCGAAAACTGCATCTTGGCGTCAGTGACAAACTCGATCCCGTCTTCGATCAGATCTAAACCTACCCTTGTTGATAGCAGCCACGACCTCGGCAAAGCTGGTGATGCCATTGTGCGAAATGTAGTTGTGGTTCGCCAACGCGTTCAGCCCTGGACATGGACCACGCTGGTCGTTACCTTGTGGTGGCACGAAAGCATGTTTGCCACTGCAATCAATGGGCTTGAGAATGTCGAGCAGGAAGCGCTTTTCATTGCGTACCCTCTCGACTTGTGCGAGTGCTCCCTGGAGTCTCTCGGGGGTAAGACCCTCAAGATTACGGGCGGAGAGGGAGGGAAAGGCGTGGACGAGACAACTCGAAGACGCCAGAAGAAGCGCCGACCAGAACTTCATGATGACAGAGGGCGCCGAATTTCAAGGAGCGTATGTTGGCAATCTCAACTATAGATGGAAGCGAGTGTGGGGTGGCAACGCTGCTGCTTGATACCAGATAAAGGAGTGTGGGGATAGCAGTCGATATCGCAACTATCAGAGTTGGTGGTGTTGAAGGAAGATGAATACTCCAAGCCAGACAGACAGCGGATCGACAAATGCGAGTTGTACTTGGAATTAATAATCCAATAGGAGGTCAGTGATTATACTGGGCCGGTTTTAGTCAGGATGCAGCGTTCCTGATGATCCCATTAGCTGCGCCGCGACATCACTTGCACCATCAACTTCCTTGTTTCCCCGCCATGGCGTGGACAGTGTCAGAGTGACATCCGGAAGAGGCACGCTTGCACCAACCGCATGTACCTGGCAGTACCGGTACGAGCAGCTCATGGAGATCAGTCGGAGATTTTCTAACTGGTCCGTTCTGGACCTATTCCCACGCACAGCCAACAGTTGGCGTGAACTAACCTGTTCCTGCACGCAAGGTTTCAGGAGGCAGCAGTTGACAGCGGTCCGACTAAACGTCGAGAACTACCACATATAGCGAGGCAGTTGGTACCGAGCCCAGCAGCGGTCCGAATGCTTCGAGGTCGTGAACTTGGGTTTAGTACAATTCTAGTTTACCTTGGCTGCACGTACCGTCCCGCCCCATTTTTCACGTTCCCGCTTGCTTGAGATGCATAGACGCGTAATTCAACTGCGGATGGCTTTTATCTTCTCAACCCAGGCCTGCATGTAGGAACGCCTCGTAATCGTTGCCAGGCGCCCCACGCGCGTAACGCTGTAAGAGTCAGGCTCAGAAGTCTGAATCCACAGACACCCCCTCTCCCGTTTTATGTTTGATTTGCGATCAAGTGTCCTGGTGACATGAGTGTGTAAGTGGCAACGATTCACCAAAGATGGTTCGCTGAGCAAGCGTTGAACGAACGAATGAATGAATGGATGAATGAATGATTGCTTTTTTCTCCCCCGCCATCATCAACGACTATTGTACATGCTATCCAAACCAGAAAAACTCATAGTGCCACAGAAGTGAGGCGTCAACGAATGTAGCCTCGGGTATTGTGTAGGAAAAGACAGACACGCTATACTAAGCTCAGTCAACGCTAAAATCATACCCGCCCAGAATCGCGCCGTTTTGTACAGACCATCCGCGCTTTGTCAGACCATGGACTCGAGCTCAGATGTGCTCCTTGCCCACTGTTGCGCTGGCTATTGGCCAGCCATCTAGGTGATCGTTGGACACCGACTCCTTCATCGAGTGACTGGAATGCTCCTTTCGGTCCATGTCGGAGTGAGCGTCGTTATGTTGAGGACGACCGTTGCCCGAGTCGATATCGACTAGCGGGACGAAGTCGCTCTCATCCCCAGATTTTGGCTTGACTGAGATCGTAGTCATGCTCTTGGTCGTGTCCGTTCCATTGGACTGATTGGTGGCGCTAAGTTTTGATCCTTGAGAAGAATTGTTCTTGCTCGAGCCGAAGGACATCTTGGACTGTATCTTGGGCGCCGCGATGGTGACAAGTAGCCGGAGTGCAGGCATGCAACCGCAGATAATGGAGACGTCAATTTCGAGCAGACTCCAGTATGCAGCTTCCACGTAATCCCATGTGATGTTCTTGGAACGCGCGAAGTGAGCGAGCGAATACAGTCGCAAACACGAGATCAAGATGACGATGATACCAACGCTAAACATGGACATGACCATGAGCTTCTGCTTGATCTTCATGTTCAGTTTGGCCAGGTTTCTCAACGGCAGGACCATGACCCATGCGTCCAGAACGATGTTGATTCCAGCAGCAATCCAGCCTTGCAAGTGGATGTCGTTGCAGAACCCCTTGTGAATTCCGTCCCATTGGTTCCAGGCCATGCTGACAGGTATGCACTGGAATGTTGTGGCGAAGAAGAAGGCGACTGTGTACGCGGTGCATACTCCCATGCACCAGTATATCTTGTTACGGAAGTCCTTGGCTGGGAAGACGCGCAGATAGAAGAAGAGGATAGAAATCTTCGAGATACCGAGCCCGGTAACGTAGAAGATCTCACCTATGTAGTAGTAATAGAGCACATTGGTGATCTGATAGTCCTTCAAGGTCCACATGTCTCGACCAAGTCCGTTTTCGACCACTACTCGCTTGTTAGAGGTGCAACTCACAGGCCGATGATTCGAAAAAACATACACATTTTGATGAATACGGCGGGAGGGATTGCACATGCAGTGACTATCCCCATGGTCAAGTCGTCCCAGGAGAGTGCCCTTCCACGCTTGCCAATACTGGCACATAGACGGAGGAGGTATACCACGACGGCCGCAACAGCACCAACAGTACCCAGATAGATGAATGGGTCGGCATGATAGCGCTCTGGACGTCCGCAGCCTTTATCGGATATGTGTTTTAATCCTAAGATTTGTATCAGTGTCTAATTCAAACTTGATCAGATAGAGATAGCCTTACGGAGCAACTCGTAGTTGGTACAGGTCTTACTAGCGCAGGCCCCTACTGCAGCATTCAACGCTTTATTGCCGCACATGCACGATGATGTGACATTTGTTGCACATGATGACCTCGGTATCTCTTGTGTGAAACATGACAACTGTATCAAGGTGTTAGTGACTGGTAGAAGTGACTATCGGAGATGAGGATCGGAGAGACATACAGCACATGGAGGCATCTGCCTCGCCATAGCTGTCAACGGCGATTGGGCATGGACAGATGCGACAACGCCGCCTAGCACGGCTAGTATTGTACTGAATTTCATGATGGGTTATTACAAATGATGGTGAGTGATCTAGACTTGAAACGAAAGTGGCGAGCGTCGGATGTGAAGAGATCGGAGGAACCTCCTGAGAAGGGTTTGCGTATTATAACTAACATCTTGTGGGATACCCGTTGAAGGGCACAGCTCACGCCAAGTTCATTCACCTTTGTCCTCGCGGACCGCTGGCTTCTACCGACGTGTGCCCGTGCAATCGGACAATAGGTGGTACCCAGTGTCTTGCTTGGGGGAAGCAAAGACGGATGGCCTCGTAACGTTTTGTCCAGGGTCGCTATGAAGGGTCCGCCGGCCAGTGGGTTGGAGACGCGGGCTTGACAGCGGCGGTGAAGGGGAAGGCTGACGTCCTGGTGGAGCCCAGAACCTCCCAGGGTTCGCAAAATCGCAGATCATGCCTGAGAGGGCTGATCCAAGACAGATATGCCTGCATCGGCAGTTTGTGGTAAGGGTATCGACAAAAATCCATGATACTTCATGCCGTTGTGCAGTCATGCATGGTATCAAACCAACAGAAACAATGCCACAAACACACCCTATACGGCATTCAGTCATTAGACGCTCTCCTAGGTAGATGCCCCCTTTGTTTTGTCTTGTCTTCTTGGGAGGATGAGCAAGATGATGATTTGCCTGCGTTCACCACGGAGCTGTCGGTCCGATTTGGATAAGCAGTTGCATGCAACCCCTGCGATCGTGTTTCAGCAGGACTGTGCTCCGTCAATGACAGGAGAATCCATCTCCCCGCATTAGGCAGCTCAAAACGGGTAAAGTCAACATCAGGAAGGAGTAAGCCGCTCAGCTCAATGTCGATGATCGCAATCAAGAACGCAACCCGGGGGTCCGGGATGCGAGTTGTGAGAAGCTGTAGATGCAGCCCCCGTATAAGAGCCAGGTTTGTGTTCCTCAGTATTACCAACACATCATTCTGGTCGCTCGTTCAACCACGGGAACACCCGATTCCACTCTTTTTTCATCATTCTCTTTCCTATATCTTGGCCGGTCATGAAGGCTTTTACCGTGCTCTCGTTGCTAACAACCTTGGCTGCTGCGCGGTACATGTAAGCATTCTGGGCTCTGTGACAGGCATGCAGTGTCACTAACATACCCCTTAGTAATGGAGCCGAGCACACACCTTTCAAGGGTGTGAACGTGAAGCGTTCAGCTTCCAACACAACAACACTCGAAGACTACGAGTATGTCATTGTCGGTTCTGGTGCTGGAGGCTCTCCTCTAGCCGCCCGGCTCGCTCTCGCTGGGCACAAGGTCCTCCTCCTTGAAGCTGGTGATGATCAGACCAACACAACCCAGTACAATGTTCCTGTTCTACACGCTGTTGCTTCCGAGTATGAGCCCATGAGATGGGACTTCTTCGTCAAGCACTTTGACGACGAGCAAGACGTAGTAAAGGACACCAAGCTCACATACGAGCTGCCCGACGGTTCTCGTTACACTGGCGCGAACCCGCCTGCTGGCGCAAAACCTCTTGGTATCCTCTATCCTCGTGTCGGTTCTCTGGGTGGTTGCACCAGCCACAATGCTCTTATCACAATCTATCCATACAGGAGCGACTGGAAACACATCCAGGATCTCACTGGAGACGACTCGTGGTCTCCAGACAATATGCGAAAGTACTTCATCAAAATGGAGAGGTCGCGCTACCTGCCCAGCAGTATCTTTGGTCACGGTTTCAACGGTTGGTTGGAGACTTCCTTGACTCAGCTCAGTTTGATCGCACAGGACTTCAAAGTCTTGTCTTTGGTTATCGCTGCTGCCAGTGGGATGGGTAGGGGCCTTATCGGGTCACTGCTCACAAGTGTTACTGGCCTTGCTCAAATCTTGCTCCGCGACATCAACCACCCTGGTCCGGGGCGAGACTCTGAAGAGGGTCTGTGGCAAGTTCCTCTGGCCATGAAGATTCCAGAATACAAGCGTGCTGGTCCTGTTGACTTGCTCAACCAGGTCATCAACGCCAAAAACGCCGATGGCAGCCGCAAGTATCATCTCGACGTTCAGCTCAACACTCTTGTTACCACCGTCAAATTCGATAAGAGTAAGGATGGCAAGCCCAAGGCTACTGGCGTCAACTTCTTGACTGGCAGGTCTCTTTATGGTGCTGATCCCCGTCGACAAGCTGGCCGTGTCACTACCAAGGGAACTCCAGGCTCTGTCACTGCTACCCGCGAGGTTATCCTGTCCGCAGGTGCTTTCAATACTCCACAAATTCTAAAGCTTTCTGGCGTCGGCCCGAGGGAAGAGCTTGAGCGGTTCAATATCCCCGTTGTCAAGGACCTTCCAGGTGTTGGTACGAACCTCCAAGATCGCTACGAGGTCCCTGTCATTGGCGAGGCCCCTTCTAAGCTCGCTCTTCTCAACGGCTGCACCTTCCTCGAGGGCTTCGACGCCTGCCTTGAGAAATATGAGACTCAGCCCCCTATCAACAAGGGTGCCTATGCAACTAATGGTGTTGCCATCGCCATCACCAAAAAGTCCAAGAAGACCCTCAACGGCAACGCTGATCTTCTCATTGCTGGATGGCCCGCTTACTTCAACGGCTACTATCCCGATTACTTCCAGAACGCCACTCGTGACAGAACTCAGTGGACTTGGCTCACACTGAAGGCGGAGTCCCGCAACAACGCTGGTACCGTTACCCTTCGCAGCACCGACCCCCAGGACGTACCCGATATCAACAAGCGCAACTTTGATGTTGGCCGTGAGGACGATTTGGACGCGCTTGTTGAGGGCATGAAGTTCAGCCGCAAGGCTTTCAAGGACTTGATTCCTCTCGACGGAAAATTCACAGAGGTCTGGCCTGGCAAGAACATCGCAACTGATGAGCAGATGAAGGAGTTCGCCATGAGCGAGTCATGGGGTCACCACGCTTCGTGCACGGCTGCTATTGGTGCTGACGATGATGTGAATGCCGTTCTAGACGGTGATTTCAAGGTTCGTGGGGTTGAGAACCTACGCGTCGTCGATGCTTCTTCGTTCCCCAAGATTCCAGGTACCTTTTTGGCTACTCCTATCTATATGATCGCCGAAAAGGCTGCGGACGTCCTCATCGCTAGCGCAAAGGATTAAGAATGTATAATCCCGTAGGAGGCATCATAGAGTGATGGACAGGATTGACAAGTAATCTACCTAGCGTAATTTGTAATTGTAAGGCCAAACTTGAGGTGATTGAGTGCACATGTGCATGTGTGTATGGATGATTGTGAGATGAAGTGCGCCCTGTGTCCTGAAGAAGTGAAATAGGGCATGGGCAGATTGACGTCATATTCTATTGTCACGCTTGAGATGCGAACTCATAACGCTAAAGCTGCCCCTGTACGTTTACCGCCCAATCAGTTCCCTATATTCACCGATCTATGCATTACTAAAGGTTAGGTTAGCTCTATTGAAGTACACTTCAAGTGCGCATTACAAGTATCTGGTGATTCGCTATGCATAGGTATTTCTTCAGGTCGGCGACTCTTTCATCGCCAACCTATGCTCACATTCACATCCTCATGCTTTAACAATATCCAGATTGCTCATTTCTCCTAATCTATCTACTCTCGTCTTATCTTCCTCGGTCATCTTTCATCTCATCTTCTTTAGTCGAGCAAGCTCTTCTGGCTTCCCCTTTTTCTTTCGATCACCATGGTCTGTCCCAACCTTTCCATGACCTTGCGTAAAGTCCAACACCAATTTCTTTCTCAGACAATCTACGTCTCGAGCACATGTACATACTGGTTCTACACGTAGGCTCTTGGCAGGAGTACTAGATTTCCGCTCGCAATATATTTGTCCGACACTATATGACTTTTTGATTATTCCGCGGTCGACTTGTACGCATGTACATCTTTCCAAGTGTTTGTTGTTAAACATGTCATGCAAAGCATCTTGCGCAGATTACTTCACGTCATCAGCTTACTGCGAGGGGCTCACGTTGATCAAGCCATTAGTGAGATAGCTTTCCTCAAAGCCACGATAATGGAGCATTAGCCCAACTGCTTCAATGCTGATACTGTTGTAACTGCATCAGTAGTAAATGGCATATTACGGTCTTCTTCCAGTCCTTCGGGTTTCATCGTGAAACCAGACCGCGATTCACAATTTGCCAATCTGCTAGGAGGGGAGGTACGATTCAAACCAATGTCTAGTATCGCCGTGACTCCACTCTTACACATGGGCAATCTTTATCGGTGTTGGAAGGATCATTAAGCTACGCTGGATGCAGTGCATGCTCCGGAATATGGAGGGAATACGACTCATTGAAAGATTTTTTGGTTTTCCTTTGCGCCGAGAGTAAGTCATTACGTGCAATTAAACTTTGAGAGAGCACTATCCATGCAATGCTTAGGGCTTATGTTTTTCCATATTTATTTAGCAACTATGCAACCTATATTTAAGACGGAAATCGGGTCGCTACCTCTAGTTCATAGATGTTCTAGTGTAATACTAGCATCTGACAAGATCGGAACTGATTCTTTCATCCCTGTAACAGCCCCCTTCCCCCTTAGATTGTGGATCTGAAGTGGTCAGTAGGAGTTACTGTCGGTGTGGGCGTGTCACAATGAACAACGGCTATGCTTGCTGTTAAGTCAATATTGAAAGCGGATCTGAAATGCCACGGACTTTCATCTCGGCGTAGTCTACATCACAAGTCGAGTTACGCCCGCTTTAAAAAAAAGTCCTAAAACACAATGCTACGACTCTAACTCTGAAGTCCTCCATACACCTTCACACAGGTATTTCTTCGTGCGGATAGGCTAGCCATCTAAATAAGGATGAATCTAGGCGGTATCAATATTGGTTTCCTTGTGAGCGATGCAAGTCACCAAGCCTTCATGTGTGGTTCTGTACGAGGTCAATTCTCAATAGGAACTACACGTACAGTCCAGCAAGCTTCGACTATGTCAACTCCACACAATCCCTCATTATAATTTGAAACACGCCTAGAAACCATGACTCGTACCATACATCGGCTCCATCAGTTGAATCCATCAATCGCACTTCCAACACCCGCCATACCCTCATGGCCTCCACTGATGGATCGAGACTTATGGAGCTTGTTGGTTGCCTGTAGGTGCCGGCCAGGCAAGGAGAGTGGTGTCCCATCCAAAACTCTCGCATTCCGAAAACTCTGGCGTACATACCCTCTAGTTACGACTAGCGGATCCTTGTCATGGGAGGGGAACGGGGCTCATCAGTCTCCTCCCCCCACAGCGAAACACGACCTCTAAAGAATATTCACTTCTACTCAAAACAAGACTACCACACCGATCACCTCGGATTCATCGCCAGGATTCAAATTCATTCCTACACAGCCCACAGCAAGAGTCTGCTATATAAAGCTTAAAGTGCATGGGTGCACATCTAAGCCTTAGTATGAAAGAGATAGATAATATTCACTATATCTTGATTTTCCCCTTTACCCATTTTCCACTCGCAATGTTGAAGACCTACATGAGTACATCACTAACCTCCCCCTCCCCATCTTGTTACCTCTACGACACGGCTGCCGGAACGCAAGTAGTAGTGGTATATATACGTGGACGACATAGTGGCTTGCTTAAAACACTACATCATCATATTGCGGGTACATGAAAATGGGCTGGTCTATCAAATCAGGGTACAGGAATGGTGTTGTGAATAATGGATATTGGATGAGAAATGGCCGTTTCCTTGCATACAAGATAACAGGATGGGACCGACTGATTGAGAGGTATAACTGAGAGGGGGGTGCGAGAGTGAGAGGTTACAGAACACATATCAAAGTAAACAAACACCGGAAAATCAACTAATCTTCCTGTCATGCTATTCCTGCCTAGTGATATACCTGCGTAGCATGCTACTGCTCCTGCTAACATATCTCAAACCTCATGCCTACCACACGATCAAGCTCGTGGCCACGCTGATACACTCACCCCCCCTGTACCACCTCAACATCCCTCATATCCACACACCTCACACCCCCCACCATCCATCCCAACACCCTCCTCCCACATACGCCCCGCCCCCACGTACCCATCCATCCACCATGCATGCCTACACAAGCCACACAGCACCACAAGCCCACCTCTTCCGTGCCGAAATGCGAAAACCTCGAACGCATGCCCTACCTACTTACATGCCCCCTATTGCCCGCTTGTGTTCCAGGTTAATGGTGGTTGGTGGGATTAGGAGGAGCGGCGGGGGGTTGGCCGGAGGAAGGTGGTTGGGTTGGTAGAGGTATGTGGGTTGGGTTAATGGTTTGGGGGGCTGTGATTTTTCATTGGGAGGATGGGGTGTAGAACGGGTGCTGAGGAGATGGCAATGCACGGTTGTGTTATTTTTGAGGGACTGTTGGATGGATTCGTTGATGTTGATGTTGATGATGTCGAGTTTGTGAATTAAATGACCAAAATCATTACCACATAGTATAAGGCATAGGTTTATCATCATTCATCACTGACCCCAAAACACCAGCACCACCTCCTATTAAGATTAAACCCCAATCCCATCCCACCCACGCAATCTCCACAATCAATCCCCTAAAATTTAAATCCGCCCGCCCTCGAACTAAACAGTCCATTGGGATCCACACTCTTCTGCAGCTCCCTAAACCGCTCATACCCACTATAACTCTGCATAACCTGCTGATCACTCTGGGCATCATTCAGAAACAATGGGAGATAGACATCGCGCGGCATGCCGGCCTCGTCCAACCAGCGCGGAACCTGCTCGGCCAGCCAATCCGTCATCTCCTTTGCAAATCCATTCACGAGCTCGTCGTCGAACGCGAGATTCCACGCGCCCTGGAAGATGATGATGATACGTTCAGGGTCCGAGGCGGTGAGGCCCATGGCGTTGCCGCCTTTGGCGGCAGAGTGCGTGCCAATGATGGAGGGGAGCGGTTGGAAGTCGACGGAGAATTGGACGCCGCGGACAACAGGAGGGAGGTTGAGGAAAGGCGAGACGGTGGATTTGAGCTTGCTTCTAATTTCAGAATACATTTGGGGGCGGGAGGGGATGAAGGGGACTGTTAGGGTCTGTTTAGGAGGTTGTTAGTGTGATGGCGAAGAGATGGGGATAAATGGCGGTAAGACTTACGCGGAAGAAGGAGCGGGCATTGAGGAGACGGACGGGTTCGCCATTGGCTTTGAGCTGGGTTTGTTCAGTGATGAGTACAAAGTGGGATTGTGACGGCGATTTACCAGTTCAGAGTACTTCTGCTTCCTGGGAAGGCAGGCCAAGCCGGGAATCTTGAAGAAATCCGCAAAAGGACCAGAAGTGGGACGGGTAGGACCGTCATAGAAATAGTAGATGATCTTGGTGGTGACGCCTGCAGCAGCCACGAGATCGGTAAAGATGATGCCCGACTTGGGATCTGCTGCAGAGCCGTTGCCTGCGTATTGGTGCAGAGCAGCGTACAGCTTGTCGTCCTGGGTCGGGTCGTAGGCGCAGGAGCCTCCCCAAACATCACCGATAGGATGTACATTTACAGTGAACTTGGTGACGATGCCAAATTGACTGCCACCGCCTCGCATAGCTTGGGCTAGATCCGGATGCGCCTTGGCATCTACATTGACAATGGAACCGTTGGCCATGACGGTCTCCCAGCCGATGATATTCTACACGGGTTTAGACGGACTGCATCATCAGGGTCGTCACAACACTCACATCAGCGGCGAGGCCTTCTTGCGCACTGAGGAAAGATAGGCCTCCCCCGAGTAGTAAACCGCCGACTCCGACAAGTCCTTAATTGGGATCAGCATACCTATTGAACAATTAAAGTAACAAAAATGTGGGGCTTCGTACCGAGCCGCCCACCGGCAATGGTAACGCCACTCGGCTCGAGATCGCTGATGACATCGTTCCACTCTCCTCCTGGCTTCACGTATGCGACGTGATTTTGGGCATCATACGTAGCTCCGACAATGTCGGTCATGGTGATCAAGACACCATCCTGGACTGTAGCATGTCCCACATTTGGGTCATGTCCACCACTTCTGGTGGCAAATTTGACTTCTGGGTACTTGTTCAGAATCTTCACAACGACCGAGACGTCATTGGCATCGACGGGCTGCACGATACAAGCCGGATCAACTGTACGCAGCGAGGTGGACCAGTACTGCTGTTTCTCAAAGGCATATTCAAGTGCTAGCAGCTGTGGCTCCAGTACTTTTCCAGGCAGGGCCTGTTTGATCTCAGAGCACGCCTGAGTGGTGTCTGGAGATGGAGCGGCTGATGCAGAGCGAGCCGTCAACAACAAAGTTGCCAGTGTTAGTCGTATTATGGCCTCCATTAGAGAAAGACGAGAGAGCGAACGGACGTTAAAAATCAACACCAACGAAAGAAATCTGGAAGGGCCCCAAAAAACGAACCATGGAGGCCTTGAATTCTTAAGTAGTATTCAACTCCTCCCCATCAAGCCCACTGATATCCACGTAGGACCGAATTGGCCATGCTGTTCGTATTGCACCTAGAAGCTTAAGTCGACGCTAATAATGAACTGGCATCCTTCACAGGGGCAAGATAGCCATTGTGTAATCATGTCTCATACTGTCCAATCGTAGTCTCGGGGCAGAATCCTCAGTATATGGAAGGTCCAGAATTTCGCCTAGAGGTGGGCCGTACGTGGCGGCGAACTTGGATGATGAGTGGCATTAGGCCAGCTATCGCGTTATCGAAAGTAAGATTTGTATTTAGCCTACGTCTCCAACCATCGTACTAGGCATGCTGCGATGTGTGTCAAGAGCACATTTGTCGCCATGAGTTCGTATTGCACATCACGCTCGCAGGAAGAGGGCAACGAGGTGTGTGTGGACATGGGGCTAGAAAGGGGGGCCTGAGGACGAATGGTAGAGAAAAGGGTTGACATGGGTAGGCATTTTGGTGGAGAGCTGAGGGCAATGCGCGCTGACAGATATTGGTAATGCAAGACAAAGCGGAACAGGGAGAGAGCCAAGAGGAGTGAAGGTTAGTGGAGCGCGGTGGAGCAAGAGAAAAGGCCAGGCCACGCAGGTTCAGGAGACATTGATTGAGACCACACTGCTGGCACGAGACAGGGCAGTCGGACCGCGAAGCAAGAGGTTGAGCGAGAGATGTCTAAATCTGTGGTAGCTGAGGTTTGGGGGCGGGAGCCTGGAAGCCTTGGGAGACTTGGGAGCCCTTGGGGGGCCTTGGGGAGAGAGAGATAGGGAGCGGAGGGAGGAGGAGAAGGAGGAGGAGGAGGAGGAAGAGGAGTCGGGAGTCGGGAAGTCGGGATAGTGGAGCGGCGAGCAGCGGGATTGCCAACGGGGCACTTGGTGGCCTGAGCGCTGGTTTGGGCTGCTCAGGCGAGCCAGGAGCAAACCTGGTCGCTCTTTCCCCTTCCGCCATGCCTTCTGCCTTGGCCTTTGGTGCTCGGGCCCTGGGGTAAACAAACATTGGACGAAAGCGTCGCCAGCGTCACGACAAGTCGACAACGAGCGTCATTAGGCCCCGTCAAACACATCCGCTCCTCCACGGTCCACTATGGAGACTTACAATCTGAAGACGGCGGCAACGTACATAAACAATCTGCTGCTTGCGCGCGGCCTGCTACGCAATGGCACGCCCATTGAGTTTGCCCACCCGTCGAGGGGCGAGGAAGGATGGTAGCGCGTAACACGAAAATCATGGAGTCACTCCATTACCC